GAATTCCCACAAAAGCGGGTGCGAATCCGGGCCAAATTCCGCCCCCTTGCCTGCTTCTTCCCTTCCCTTCCATTTTCAAGGCCTTCTCCCTCCGTGGTTGCAGGGCCCCGAATTCCCAAGCGCTGGATCCCCAGCTGGGCATGGATTCTGCCCCCCTGACACCCCCCCCCCGAGTTGGCAGGAGGGACAAATCAACCCGAAGCCCACAAACTTTAGAAAATTTAGGTTTATTGGGTTCTTAGCAGGATGATTCCCCCCAAGATCATTGGCCTGGGAGCGCCCCATTTCTGAGGGCGACGGGGGGAGAACGGACCTGCCGACATCAGGAGGGTTCCCTGGGGATGGGGGGGCCGAGGCCTGCCCACCCAGCAGCCTTAAGTTTCCCAAAAATGAGCATCGGCCCGAATCTGCTCCAGCAGCTCCCGTTCTAGGACCTCAGCATCTTCGGCGAAGCGGTCGCAGAAGGATCGGATCAGCCCCGCCGCGCTGGCTTCGTACTGAGTAAGTTGCACTTTGCCTCCTGGAAGGGGAAGAAGGGAGCGCCGGAGACCGCGTGATTTTGCAAAATTAACCAACGCATCCTGCCTTTTCCAACTTCTCCGATTCGATTTGGTCCCCGCGTTGGGAATCCCCCGTCCGGCGGCTGTAGCCGGCGGCTCCAAAATTTATCTGGGGGTGAGGCTTGAGGCTTACCCTGAAACGAAGCCCGTTTTCTGATTTTCACCTAGGATGCTCCTACCGTTACGAAGAATGCCAGGGAGTACAAGAAGCAGCATTTGGTCAGTCCTGGACCAAATCATGGCTGACTGCTCTCCTGAGACCCTAATTAGAAACTCACATACTTTGGGGGGAGGATGTAGGGGATGCTAGACAAGAAAAGGACAATGTTGTGCCAGCCCTTTAAAATATGTCACGTCGAGAAACACACACTGCAGAGATTCCACGAATGGTCCTCTATGGTAACAGAGCAGTGTTTCTCAACCTTGGCCACTCTGAGATGCGTGGACTTCAACTCCCAGAATTCCCCAGCCAGCACCTTGGCCACTCTAAGATGCGTGGACATCAACTCCCCGAATTCCCCAGCCAGCACCTTGGCCACTCTGAGATGCGTGGACTTCAACTCCCAGAATCCCCCAGCCAGCATGGCTGGCTG